TAAAACATTATTGCTGACTTTTAAATATATGTCTCTGTGTGTATATGTGTGTATGTGTATACAGGTGTGTGTTTATATATGTGTGTGTGTGTATGTGTATGTATGTATGTATGTATATATATATATATATATATATATATATATATATATATATATATGTATGTATGTATATGTATATGTATATGTATATGTATATGTATATATATATATTTGTTTTCTTTCCTTTTCGTAGGCTTTATGTGTATTTCTCTTTAGCCAGGTTCTTCCTATGTAAGCCAAGATTTTTATGCAGCCCTAGTTCAGTGAAATCACAATCCACTAGTTTCTAGGCTTTTTTTTCTCTGGCAGCCAGCAAATACTCTGCTGCCCTTAGTCTCCTTAGTCTCCCAATGGGCAGCAGAGTGTTTGCTGACTGCCGGAAAAAAAAAGCCTAGAAACTAGTGGATTGTGATTTCACTGAACTAGGGCTGCATAAAAATCTTGGTTTACGTAGGAAGAACCTGGCTATATATATATATCTCACACACACACATATATATATATATCACATATATATATACAACACACATATATAAAACACACATACATACTGTATACACACACATACACACATACTTATATAGAACTAATAATAGTGATTTTGAATAGACCAATATTCCAAGGATATATTAAACTGAATTCCTGTGCAAAGCACATAATTATTCCCAATGACCTGATGGCCCTTTTCAATTTTATTTTTTGCTGTATTTCTGAATTCCTCATGAGATATATCTTCTTATTTAATAAACTATAAATATTTCCCCTAAGGATGCAGGGAGAGGGAGGCTAGAAATCTGCAGTTGTATAGGTGTGGCTAAACGATGGTTCCCAGTATCAATCTTTAGTAGCATCTGCTTGCTTTAAGAAATTCAATCTACATCCCTAAGCACAACTATAAGAGCTTATTTTGTGTAAAAATGAACCAGATTGTATATTTTTATTATTGGAATAAAACTAATAAAACAAAAATGCAAAACATAGAATTTGTAGTTCAGTGAGCCCATATTTCAGAAACACTGGCAGTCAGCTTGTTTTTTTCATATAAGTATCTCCGATTCCCTCTTCACACCAGCAAGGGGTGGAGTGTTTGTGGACTGCCAAAAACGACAGCTAAGAGTTTCCAAAGAAATAACAGAAAATCAAATGTGGCTAACAACAAATTTTGTTTTATGCTGTTTTAATTGGTTTCATCACTAAATCTTCTCTAGTTGCTGAACATTTCTTTCAAATCTTTCCCAGTCTAAACTTTCCCAGTTTGTGGATGCTACCATTTGTTATTTGGCCAATTCTCATTTTAGCTGAATGTATATTATTCAGTAAAGAATCCAAGAAAAAAGTTATTTAAATTATTCTTGTAAAAATTGATTGTTAGCTAATTATTTATCTTTCTGAATGTTGCTTGCAGTGCATCAAACATAAGATATGAGTGTCTAATTTACAATGACTCAGAATATGAGCCTATCTAAGTAAATGCCACCTACATTGCCTGGCTACAGGCAAAAGTCTTCCAGCCCTTTTGTTTAAGTTCAATTAATTAGAGATGTATACAACTGAAAGTTGACATGGATACTTCTACAGCAAAATGCAATGGAATAAAATGTGAATAAAATCATTTGATGGAAGGAGTTCTAGACCCATTATTTTTCTTGCATGTTGCTATAAATAACACATCATGATTTCTTCCACAAATTAAATGAAGAACTAGGCATCAGGCGCTTTTTCTTTTAATTAGTGGAGACCTATGAATGCAAAGGAGATAAATATTGAATTGTACTTTTCTCATCGCAGTACAGAAACTGAGCAGGAGGAAACCATTATCAGCAGCATGCTTTCCAAAACAAAAGATTAAGAAGGAATTTTGGCAAGGAAAAAATGCATGTGGGTTGATAAGGAAAAAGTAATAACACCTTCAGCTGTGCTCAACCCAAAGCTGAGTATGTTTATACACTTGGAGAAAACTTCCTGTAGCTTGGCCACAGCCTTTTCCGGATTGGCGATCTCTCATATTCTGCACCTCAATTGGTGTTGTGCCTTTCATTTCCTTTGGCTTCAGACAGTTTGGGAACAGCTTTTGTTTTCTTACCCTGTATAAATCAGGACATTTTTTTCTGAGAAGAGAAATTTGTTAGAGGTAAGACTAGTGATATTAAAAGATGTACTTAACATCTGAGGCAAATTATGATTAAGCTGTAGAAGTTACATTTGTTTTTGCAAACAAACCTTTATGCCAAACACAATTTATGGATTGTGCTAGTTTCTCTAACTAACTTCTAAGGCTCTCTAGTAAGAATAGGGAAAATTTAAAGCATTATATTGTTCCTGCTAAGGCTGGCTAGTAGTATGCAGAAATGCTGGGCATGAAAAGTTGGAGAAGGAAAAAACAGGAATAGCAGCCTTTCAAGACCCTTGAGGCATAGGATATACAGGAAAATGTAGCATTTTTGTAGGCTCCATATTGTGTCTCCATGTCACGTAAAATTAAAGTGAAGGGAGAAATATGCTTGTGTATTTCTAACTATATTGGAAATTATCATAAATCTCAGAATGCCTTTTAAATAGAGTTGGACAAAGGGCTTCACATTTTGAAATCATATCCCAAAGCTGGGAGACCAGGTTATAATAGAGACTACAATGAGTTTCCAATAACACAAGAGACTTGCAGTTTTCCTTATTTAGAAATAAGGTAGTTATATCCAGGCTACCACCCTAAGCCTAATGTGTAAAGTGATCCTGCTCCACTTTGCAGATCCATCTCAGTTAAGGACTAATTTAATTTCAGCCGGGAGGCGGGGGGAGACATGACTCTTGTTTTGTCTGACTGATTTGCAGAAGATACGAATCTTCTGTGCATATATGAAGAGAAGACGCCATGGAAAGTTCTCAAAATATTTCCGCATGACTCAGCCATATGTACCCTGTGGGGTTGCTGGGTAATGTTTTGTTCTGCAAAGCATCTCTTTATATCACTGAGTTAAAACCCAATAGCTGCCTGATAAACAGCTGTTTTGAGACTGCTCATACTTCCCTAGAAAACCATTTAGGAATGGCCACAATATGTTCTCAAATGTTCAAATGGCTCAGTTGTCCCCTGCCCCAAACAAGATATTTCTTATGGCATGGTCATAAACTGATCAACAAAATAGTGTCAGATGGGTTGGCATTCAATATGCTACTGAAGAATTGTTGAGGATCTTTTAAAATATGATGCAGCTAAATTAAAGTCTTCGGGGTATATAGTTGCTGATGTTGCTGTACGGGAAAAGAAAATCCAAAACTGCAAAGGCAGAATTAAAATGAGAAAATGGAACATAAAAATCATGAAAGTTCAACAAAGTCAAAAACAAAATGAATCAACTACAACTGGGCTTCTTAGGCATTGGTAAAGTGGAATGGATTGGAACTGTGCACATTTGGTCAAAGAATTATACTGTTCACCACTAAGGAATGAAAAACGAACAGTGCGGGTTCATAGCCATGAAAGTTATAGAAAGGCAGTCCTTGGGTACAACACAGTCTATAACTGAATAATATCAGTCTTTGCAAGCAGCCCTTTTAGGTTTGACTACAGTATCAATAGTAAAGGAATCAGTAGTCAAGAAATATACCACAGACATTTGGTAGAATTGCAATGAAGGCTTTGAAAAAGATACTCGGATGTTCCAATAGCTATCAAAATCAAAATTGTGCAAGCAATGTTGGACTTTGAAGAAGCAGGATAAAAAAGATTATTGATGCTTTTGAACTTTGGTGTTGCAGAAAACTCTTGGAAATACTATGGATATCCAAGCAAATAAATGGATCATAGAATAAATCTATTTGAATTCTCATTTGAGGCACAAGACCAGACTCAGACTACCATATTTTGAACATATTATGTGATGACCTGAAAGTCTACAATGCTAGGAAAAGCAAAAGAAGAGGACAATCAGCAGCAAGCAGGATAGACTTGATTATACCAGCAATGGGTATACAGTAGAGAAACCTAAAGTGTAAGGCTTTGGACAGATCATTCTGGAGAAAGTCTGTTTTGTCCTTAAAGAGTTGATACTGACTAAATAGCTCATAAACAGCCAATAAAGGATTCATGGAAAAAGGATGGTGGAAAGAAAAACTAAGAAATGAAAAAAAAGATCATGATTTGTACTGATCATGATTGATAAATATATATCAATTCCAACAATCCATCCTGCTCAGCTGATTTGAAAGTCTTGAAGAAATAGAAACGGGAGTTGTCTCATGGCTCTGGAAGAAGGTTGGATATTAATAGCTGAGATCATAAGGAGCAAGGATCTGCTATAACTGAACTCAGGAGTGTATAGTTTTTCTCTTTATTTTCACTTGGGCAAATGCATGTTAGAATAACAGAGTTGAAAGGGACCTTGGAGGTCTTCTAATCCAACCCCCTGCTCAGAAAGAATGGAAAGATGGAGAGTGATCCCAACTTCTGTCTCACCTATAATTTGACATACCTTTTTGTTGTACATCAACATAAAGCAATGAAAATATATATTGCCTGTATTCTTTCCAAGTAAGGATAAAGGCTGTATTAGAAGCTGTTCACTCCACTAGAATACCATTTATGGTAAATGAATTTATTACCATGGTAAAGATTTACCATGGTAATAAATTCATTTATTCATTTCTCTACTTTTCCACAGAAAGAAACAGCAAAATGGACACAAAACTTTGTCTTAGGCATTCCCAGTGAAGGATTAGTGATTAAGCAGTTTAAGGAACCAAGTTAGTCGGCTACAATATCAGTCTTTCTCACATGCCATGAAATTTCAGCAAGAATCCTGATTCATGTGAGAGATGTTTGTGGCCTTTATCTTGCCAAGAAGTCCCTAACTTCCCATAAATGGTATTCTAGTGGAGTGAACAGCTTCTAATTAAGTCTGTCTTAAAAATGAACAACATGAGAAGAAACTTGCTGTAATGTGTGAAGGAGCCTAACACAAGCCATGGGCCATTCCTGTGTATTTTGATTTTTTTCTTACATTAACATTAATTATGCTGTTTCATCTCTACTATTATTTAATTACTGTATCTATGCAAAGGAATATTTCAACTGAAAACTTACTGTTGCCGAACATTCAGAGACAAACTTAAGGCAAATCATTTCTGCCCATTACAGCTTTTCAATTAAGTACATCAAACCCAAAACAATCAAAATGGCATTTTGGAAATCAGATACTAAGTAACAATTAAAATATACTTATGCTGCCTTTTTAAATTATGAAAATGATCTATACATATGTATAGTTTACACTAGAGACAATTCCAATATACATTCTTCCTTTATATCATATTAACAATCATGTTTGCTTGTTTAATACAAAAATGTAAACATTAAGACTATCTATACTAATCTACTAAATAATTGATTCATTCTCTAGCACCAGCATTTGGATAACACCTGGCAAGGAATTCTAGTTCCAACATATCTGGACAAAAGCAGATTAGGGAAATTTGAATTAAAAAGACAAAATATATTCCTTTCTCTAGTGGGCTACTTATTTTTATGTTCATTATCCCATATCTAGCTAATGTTTCCAGTGACAAGTGTAAATAAGGCAGTAATATTCATGTTAGGTGTTCTTGAATTATTTCCAGTTAAAACAAAAATATCCATGATAATTACTATAAAAAAGACAATTTCTTTCAGAGCCTGGTCACATTTTGTTCTACATTCTATTTTCAAATAACACTTAAATAGTCAATACATTTCAGGATGAGCACTGAAGGAAGGCAATGGAAAAAATATTTGGGAGAAGAAAAGAGGGTTAGAATATTTAATTTAGCCTAAAATATAGGCTAAATTAAAGCATGACTATTGTGATCTTAGATATGTTTAAGCATACAACTTAAATATAGTTATATTTGCATTTTCATTTACAGATAGACTCTCACATGTTTTGTTTGAAAACTAGATTCAAAGGCCCTGTGACATCCTATAAATGTCTATTTAGAAGTAAATTGCATTGTATTCAAACCCCAGAATGTTAAAATAGGATTCGAGGCTCGGAAATATGTAACTCTACTTAATGTAACTACAACTAATGCCACTCTTAATTTCAATGTAATTAACTGTATCTGGATTACAAATAACATTTCAGACTTATTTCCTTTATGTTAAAAAAAAAAATCAGCAACTTTTGGAATTCAAAGGATGTACTTGCTATGAGTTCTAGTAACAGTCCCAAAGCATCTAGAAAGTACTACGTAGGGAAAAAAAGTTGTTTGCTTGTTGTTATGTACAGTATATGGACAATGAAAACAAAGTTTGAAGGAGACAGAGCATTTGAGATTTAGGTCAATTGCCTACTATACTGCATTTTCATGTTATAAAAGCAGGGATGAAATCCAGCAGGTTCTGACAGGTTCTGGAGAACTGGTAGCGGAACTTTTGAGCAGTTTGGAGAACCTGTAACAGAAATTTTGAGTAGTTTGGAGAACCGCAAATACCACCTCTGGCTGGCCTCAGAGTGGAGTAGGAATGGAGATTTTGCAATATCTTTCCCCCAGGAGTGGGAAGGAAATGGGGATTTTGCAGTATCCTTCCCCTGCCACGCCCACCAAGCCACACCACACCCACCAAGCCATGCACACAGAACCGGTAGTAAAAAAATTTGGATTTCACCACTGTATAAAAGTCTCCTAATTTTTCCTATTTCTTTTAAAATGGAAAAGGTACTCAGTTCTTTCGAATTAAGCAAATTTGATGAAGAGTTTATTTTGTATTGTTTAAGAACTGCCTCAACCATATTTCAAAAGGCTTTTGATGAGTTGCAGAGTTACAATCAACTTATGTTATGTACAAATTGCAGCATAGCCTAAATGCAGAAAGGTAGGCAAGACAGTCTTAGTTGGGTATGAGAAAGGGTGGTGATTACCAAAATCTAGGGACTTTCAGCTGCATACTACTCTGGAGCCATAGTTGTTAAATCTCTGTTATATTTTAAAATTAAGTTAAATTTACATTTTAAAAAAGTGAAAATGTCCTTTCTTACTCTAAACAGCATCAGATAGATATTAAACAACTCTCAAATAAGTGAAAAATCTTTAATTTCTAGGAAACGTCTCCCTGGATGAACTATTGTGAAGGATATCACATCTAAAAGTACAAAAATAAAATAAAAAAAACCCCAAACTCCACGTTTATTAAGAACATTCCCAATCCCATTGAAGCAGTTTGCTAATTTTACAATTTCCATACACAAATGCTGCGTCAGCCCTGAAGAATTAATATTAAGATGTTAATGTTTTTTTTAAAAAGATATTATAATTTCATTTAGGAATTTTTACTCCTAACTCCTCTTTGTAAGTGCAGTTGAGCTTTTTCCAGCTGCATTAAGAAGGTCACAGCATTTTCACAGTTCTGTGTCAGCAACAACCTGGGGCTTCGTTTGGTGTCCATTTTTTGAGGATGGCTGGCCAGTTCCATTTTCCCGAGCCCCTCCATTGAGATTTGGTTTATCCTGCAGGTCAGACTGTTCTTGAGAGGCCACAGGGATTTCAGGGTTGCCATGGCTATCATTTTCGATGTAATAAGGATCTTCACCCTAAAGGGGTTAGACGTATAAGTAATAAGAAAATTCCGAGTTAGACAAAGCTGTTCAAAGGTCTATAAAATGATTTAGATTCTATATAGAAAATAAAATAAATATCTGTTCTTTCAGTCAGGCAGTTCAGTCAGGGATTTTGAAAAGTATATTAAAATAATACTAGTATTATTGATGGAGTGAACAGGGAGGTCTTGTGTGTGTATGAAATATATTTCAGTGGCCTATGTGATCAATGAAAATAATACAAGTAATTTGAATATAAACTTGTCAATAAAATGAGAGGTTGGATCAAATACCAAGAATCCAGTATGCAGTTTCATTAATATTTTTGTCTATCCTGGTATCTAAGGTTTGGAGCAGAAAAATTATTCATAGTTTACTTCCAGATTTTTTTAAAACTAGAAGCACCAGAAAATTAATCTGGAGTTTTTTGCTCAGAGATCAAATGTTTTAGCAATAAGCTATGAAATATCCCCATGGATTGTAAGAGGTCTTGCTCTGACACTTTGCCCTATTATATGATTCATGTACAATCTCACCTGCATCTATATTTCTTGATTATACAGACTGACAGTAATACCACTGATTTGTAGTAATGGAATGATAGTTTAATTTCTGAAAGCTAATGTAGTCTGCATAATATATAGTTCAATAAGTAAATAAATGGAATAACGGGTCATTCATTAGCTATTGTTGTGTTGACACTGGCATTCAATTTGTCAAGATTTTATACTACTGGTATATGGTAGGACTGTACAGTGCTTTGGATTCAGGTCTGGGAAAAGACACAGCTTCTGTAAAGGTGTTGCAGGTGCTCCTCCCAAATGTTCTAAAATATCTTTCAAAAATTGTCTGTGAAACTCTACAGAGCTCTGTGTTTGCATTCCAGGTTAATGAAGGTGACCTACAGAAATTCATTGTATGAAAGTGGTTATTTAAAGAGAAAGATATTTTTCTTAGAGAGAAACTTTTTTTTTTTTTGAAAAAAAAAATCCTGGGAAATTACATGCAGTCAACTTATATCTGACTGAAACCCCATGAATGGTGTTGAAGTAAAAGTAGCAGATAGGAAAAGTGCCCTTTCCCAATTCCAACTTCTCTACTTCGTTTTACCTTCTTCTGGATTTGGGAACAATATTTACACATCCCCAAATATTAAAAAGAAAAATTAATTACAGTTGCAGTTGTGCATTTAGCTGACATAGTTAAATTCAAAAGGTTTCCAGCAAGCCTAAAGATAGAAGAAACAGAAATTTAAAGCAACAAATGAATTTTAAAAAAAATTTCTTTTTCTTCACATTCTTTATTTCATCATTTGGTGATAAAATCATAGGGAAAGTTTTTAGTGCAGCAGAAACAAGAGGAGAAAATCCAGTGTGAATTTAAAGCATGAAGATATTGGGAAAATACGATTCTTATTTGATGGTGTTTGTAAATTGTTTAAACTTACTGTTGAAAAAAGTAAACATAACTTGAAATTGTAGAATATCTTATGGAAATGAGCACACCACTTATAGTAATGGAAGAATAGCAATCCTGTCATTTTTCTCTGCAACTGTTGTTACATGCCTTGAACTTTCTACTTGTTCTGCCAACTATAAGCACTAACCAGCCTTTCTCCCATGGGACTCCAGCTTCGTCGTTTCATAAGATAATATCCAGCCAATCCCAAAAATGCCAACAGCAGGCCAGTGGTGACCAAGGCAATAAGGGTCCCCTGAGAATGGACCTGGTGAATCTCAGTGCGTTCCTGCTTGTGGGATTTTATCCCAAGCTAAAAGGAAAAAACAAAATAGGATTGAACCAAAGAAGATGAAAACACTTGTCAGGAATGCAAACGGCAGAAATGATAGACCGTTAAAGGTCATTCGTCATGTCTTACTCCATACAGTTTATGTCTTTTAATAAAATTTGTTACACAGAAAAGGTGCTTCCTCTGAAGTTTTTGTACGCTAGTCTAACACAGCAACCTCCTACATGAGGTAGCTTTAAGGCTTTCACTTTGACATACGCTCACATCTTGTTTAAACAAGACACAGTAGGAATGAGGAAAGGACAACATAACAGTTCCAAACTGTTTAGAGAGTTAAAATATCCAGTTTATGGGGAAGTGGGGCTGTCAAAATGCCCTATTAAATCTTAAAAACAAAGCCTTTAAAAAACAGTTTTAAAAAAGTAAGTTCTTACTAAAGATTGAAGGTTCTATAATCGTCGGTCATTTATCTTTTTGGGCTGATAGCTTCCTGGAAGAACTGAAGAGGCAGAATTAGCCTCTTCTGGGAATGATGGGTTATGTGATGCTTGGGCAACAACTTAAAAACATCCCAAGACATTTGTGCATTATTGCTATTACATATTTCACATGTGCTAGTATAAGCAATAACCTATTGCATATAATACAGATTAATTCTTTATATCATGGTATGACATTAGATCTGAGGTAGACTTACAGAGTATAAAGTAAGACAAAAGCAGGTAAATAGCAAAAAAAATTGCAGAAAATGAAAAGGCACAAAGGGAGAGGACTAACAGCAATAAACAACTTCAGAAAGATTGGGCACATGTGCCAATTGGCTATATTTCAGGCTAGACAAGTACATTGGGAGTAAAGGAAATAAATACAATAATAAAAGGATGTGGCTTGAGGAAAAGGAAGAGGATTATATAAGAAAGAGCGAACTAGTGTAAACAATCATCCACCAGTGGAATAAATTTTGCACTCCATGTAAACCTACCTAAATAAATTATAATTCTTATTCAAAAGTGAGACACAATAGGTGGAATAGTATTGTCCATTTTGGGAGAAAATCGCAACAACATAAAAGAAAACCCCATCAAATCTCTTAATCCAAAGTAATTCAAAGCACCTCATTCACTGTGATTCTTTCAAATGATTCAAGAATTCAGTCTGAAGATTCAGTGTGAAAGTGTGAGTTGCTGAATCTTGAAATTGAATCACATAGCTTTAAGATATTATGCATGTTTGGGAAGATAGTTTGGAAAGAGAGAAGTTCTGTGTACTTCATATGTTTTGTATGTTAAATTACAACACAAAGGAAACTAATTTCCAGGATGCAATTTCATGTCTTTAAAGAATGAAACAACACCATGAAAACAGTTTCACTTTGTCTTCTGAAATATTCTCTGGTGATTCTGATAGCTAAAAGTGGTTTCTTCACAAGCAGGATACTGTAGATGCCCAGAAGCCTTTTCTGCCCAATGGAACTTTTGATTGACATTTTAAGTTGATAACACCTCAAATCCAGGAAAATACATATTGCTTATTACTTAAATGTGTTATATTTTAGTAAAATATTGATATTGTATTCCACATTCTTTGTGAAAAACATCACTGTTCATTTACATGATTTTAGTCATAAAGGATCCTGGCATACAAATATACTATTCAGATTTTGTAATATTTTAGGTTTGAATTTTTTTTATTCTGTCTCACCCAACTCCTATATATAAAAGCATGAATAAATTACCGCTTTCAAATCCGGCTGCTTGTCATCCAGAAAGCCACACAATGCTTCTGCACCTATATTTTCTAAAGCAGAGAAAACTGAAATTTACTTTCAGAGAATATTGGAATTATTTATCAAGCAAAGCAGCTTTAACAACATTTACAATATCACTTCCGCTGGTTTTATTCAAAGTTATATATGACTTATATAACTGTGGTTTATTCAATAAGTCACAATTGACTAGAATGATAAAACATAGCATCATCATATGCTGCTGATACATAGTATATATACCATAGCCATGAGTAGATATGCAGTAGAAGTATTTAACTGACTCCATGGTGAGTCAGTTGTTTGGGTCTGGATGAGGAGGAACACACTTTAATTGAATCTCTCCAATAAGGAGTGGCTTTGGATCTGCAAATCTAACAATTGCAGAAAAAATCCATTTCTTAAAATTCTAAACAGGTTGTATTTCTTTGTTCAAAGATGATTTTTAACTTAAGAATTCTCCTGTTTGAAGACCAGATGTCAGATACACTTTTTTTGAACAATTACAACTTTGTTTCCTTGATTTGGAGGACTTGCTCATAATCACTAAAGTTCTAGTCACTTCTATTAGATCATAGGTGTCAAACTTACGGTGTCACATTGTCATGATGTTTTGTGATGTTTTTCCCATCGCAAGATGGGGTGGGCGTTGCCATTATTTCAAAATGCTCAACATGGGATGACTCTTTAAGGACCTGTGGAAACTGCAGCTGTTGCAGAATGAGCAGCTGCAGTACTAATGGGAGTTGCCTTAGTTTCCAACTGAATTCTGGGTGTGGTTTAAGGTGGTGGTTGCCACATTTAAAACCTATATAGATCTGATCCTGGTTATCTGGCCATCTTCTCCTTAATTCATTTGCCTGTCCAAACAAATGAAATAGTATAGCAATAGCAATAGACTTAGACTTATATACTGCTCCATGGTGCTTTACACCACTCTCTGGGTAGTTCACAATGTAAGCATATTGCCCTCAATAATCTGGGTCCTCATTTTACTGACCTTGGAAAGATGGTAGGCTGGGTCAACTTTGAGCCGGTCAGGACTGAACTCCTGGCAGTGGGCAGAGTTAGCATGCAAATACTGCATTCTAATCACTGTGCCACCATAGCTCATAAATAAATAAAATCAACTCTTCCACATTCTATCTCTCCAAGATTATAATACTGATGTGATCCTAGAGGCAAACATTCTTTGAAACTCCCTTACAGTGGAAATGTTACATCACTCTTAGGCTCCAGGAAAACTTTGAAAACCAACTCATTTTGTCTTGCACATGAAGAGACTATTTTTTAAATTGAAAGATAGGACACACTGTATGTGTGCTTCTGGAAAATAATTATATGTATTTAAGGATTTGGGGAGTATTTTATCTGTTTACTTCTGTTTAGCTGCCTAGATACTATGGGAACGGACAAAATTCAAGTATAATAAAAATACATAAATAAGTTATAAGTAATGGTTTACAAATCAAACTGAATGTGTTTACACAAATTTAACAAACACTAAATAAATAAAATGCTAAAATAAAACTAAATAACACTATGGCCCATGTAATCTGTGAATCCAGTCAGAGTTTCCAATTAGTATTTGAATGTTGTTGTAATATATACCATCTATCGTTTTGAATTGAATGACAGGAAGGTGGGGAAAAGAGGTTATAATTTTTTATTTGCTGCTGGCCACAATATCTGGCTGATTTTGAAAAAGCTAAGCTGGGATAGATTGGTTAGCACTTAGATATGAGATCACAAGGAAATCCCATGGCTGTAAACTAACTGGGAAGTAAAAAAAACAAAACAAAACCACTTCCTGACCTTAATTTGCTGTTGAATAGAAGTAACAACTAACTGAGGACACCTAATACATTTTTAAACAGTTGGTTTTTCAAATACTTTCTGCATTCCCCCACACCCCAATCTAGGGATGAAGAAGATAGCAAAAATATTGGATTTTACTCATCTTGCAAACCCATAATTGCTGGATTGGGGCTAAATGTGTTATATATAAGATTTGTTGAATCAGCCAAAGGTAAAATAATGGTTTCATGCGACATGGAAATCTAGTCAATCTTAGTAAGTCATTCATGGCTTCTATCCAATTTGATTACAAGCTATAATAAATCAGTTCAACTAACCTGTATTGTTAACTGCAAGCAACAACATGCAGTGGTGATTCATATCAGAGTCGGCCAGTTCAATAAGGCATGGCACTTCTTTTTTTTTACAGACCAATTTGCTCAATCCCTCCCCTTTGTTTCTTTTAAAGTTTTCCTAAAAAAACAAAACAAAAACAGACTTACTGTTGTAGAACATTTTTCCTCATTTGTTTTCTTTACATTTATCCAACATCAAGTGGCATATTAATTATCACTGGTTTCTGTAAACATAACAATATTCCCATGAGCTACAGTCTATTCTCCCAGTAGCATCTATTTGTCGATTTTTTGGCAAAAAAATCTACAAAGGTTAAGAGAAACCATAAACATTAAGAACAATTTTCCAAGAAGGCACATCAACTCCATTTATGGAAGCCCTATTTCCTACTATGATTATTAAAAGTACATGCATAGGAATATTCTTTACGGTACAATGAGCACATCTCTAAAAATGGGACAGATTATGTGAATTATAGCATGTGAAAGGAGAGCTACAGTAGTTAAGACAGAGTTTAGAGCATGTTTTAGCTATATGCTTGGGATTCATAATTTGCTTCCCTGAAGTATAGTGGATGAAAAGGATTACATGTCCAGTTATTAAAACATTATAATAAATCAATTATAATTGATAATGTACTGAAATATTTGTCAACACATGTCTGTGGATACTGATTACTAATTAAATATAATCTTAAATTGCTGATTAAATAAGTAATGTCGTTATAACAATTCATTCTGCAACTATATCCTAAACCAGGCAAGGCACTCTTAATGTTTTGAAATCATGAGCACCGTGTCCTTTTTCACTGTTACCAGGCAGGAGATGAGGGAAATAACAAGCACAGACTTGGCCTTCCTGTTTCAGAAATGCCTTGAGTATTTCAAATGGTTGTTTCATGGCACATTTTGCAAGGATAAAATCTTCCCACATAAAGATTAAAATAAAATGTCGCCTTTCCCAAACAGTTGTGGAGGAGACAGGAAGAAATCTGTGAGGCTGTAGTTATTTTTTTCCCCTCCACTTGGTCAATTTGGACATCAAAGGAGAGGCATAGGTCAAGGTCAGACTCAGAAGAGCCAGAGCTAAAATAATAATCTAAAGCAATTTAGAAATATAGGCTGGTTCAATAAGTTGGGAAAAAGACAGAGTCTTCCTCTGGTTGTTGAATATTTCATGTCTAGTATGTATTCAACTAATAGAACTTTCTTCTTTAATTTTTTTTTTTTAACATTGTGGAATTTGGAAAAAAATATGTACAGAGGGTTTCTGTCCATCTGTTTGTTCATCAGCACAGTAATTATATATAAACTGACCAGAATGATGCCAAATTTGCACTAGAAAGAGAAGCAGGTAAAAGAAAGTTATAAAATGGGCTGGATCTGCTTGGAAAAAAAACACTGCTGGTAAATTCCCCCTATGCCTCCTTTATGGGAAAGGCAATTAGGCAGCTGCTGAGAACTTTCCCCCTCCCCTCAGAGTAGGATATATGCAATCCATGTTCTACAGCAAACATACACACACAAAATTTTACTGTTGGGGCAGCAACAGAGCAAAAAACCATTTTTTTCATGCTGTGTCTATATGGAAGGATACTAATCTTCCTGAAATTCTGCCCTCCCTTAAATCTCATGCAATGGAGCTCACTTGTAAAGTTTCATGGCTAGTAAAAATAAATACTTGCATGTGCAGTATTTAATTCACAGGCAGCATTACTACAGATAAAGAATCTACTTTTAATCACAATTGATTATACAAGAAGCATCATCAGTACTTCCCCTTAAGTAAAACAAAAATATAAATGTCTGTCTATCTAAATATTTATCAGGGAGAAATCTTTCATCCCAGTCCACTTTGAATTACACATAATCCTTGTTTAGCAATCACAGTTGGACACAAGTAGCTCAATTTTAAGTAAAGCAGTTGCTAAGTGAAACTGCAAATGTCTTAAAGTTTTATTTCAGCTTTTCTTTGCTTTACAGACCTGTAACAAAAGTTACGTTTCCATCATTGTCATAACTGCACTCAAAGTCTGAGCCAGTCACTAAATGAGGATTCCCTGTATATAACTTTCTACTGTCTGGGGGGATTCATGGATAGATACGCACTTAGTGTAGGATTTTACATATTTAGAATTTGGGATATCAAGTTCAGGTGGTTTAATTGGCTTCAGAAAAATCTCAAATGGTTATTTAATGTGGCCCAATGGAATAAACAAAAGCTACACAATAGAAATAAAAATGTAAACAATCACAGAATGCATTATGCAAGGGAAATGGAAGAATGCAAATAAAACCTAACAAAAACCATTCCCACAGATATTAGTTTGGGATATTAAGGAAAAACACTCTTATGGTTTTTTTTCTTTTTTGTGGAAAGAATTGTTGAGAGGATGTCAGAGTTTCCTTTCTAGTGAATGGAACAGCTTACTGGAAAAAGCCTGCCAGAAAGACAAACAAGTGAAAAGGTTCATTCTATCTATTTGTGGCTCAGCCTCAGACACAGCAATCAGTCTTAAAAATAATGCATGAGACAAAGAAAGAAGGCCTGATCCCAGTTTCCACTAAAAATTAGCCAAGAGATAAAGCTGCAAATTGTGTGTATGTTCAGGACAATAATACATTACAGTATCTTTTCAGTTTCTGTGGTAAGTGAAAAAGATCACAACAAAGAAATGTAGGTGCACATAACCTACAGGTTTCAACTGATGCCTCCTAGATGTATCAGCTACCATAATCTCTCTCCCATTGGTGGAGGCTGGTGCAAGATTTTAGCAATTAGGATTGAGTAATAATAATTATTATAAAACAATAAATTATAAAGTGATATTTAAGTTTATGCTTGGAATATTCACTTATGCAACTGATTTTGCTTGAAATCACACACACACACACACATAGAGAGAGAGATGATTCAAAGATGAATTTTATAATAGATTCCTGTTCATCATACCATTATAATATCATCATCATCATCATCCATGTTTCCTCCAATAGCATGCATGGTCATCACAATTAAAGAAAATATTATGACCTACGTACTTAGCTATCCATAAATTCCTGTTCATGAAAAAGAAAAACCCTGTCCATATACCAGTGAATAAAAACAATGTTTCAGATGGAAATCAGACACTAGTTTGTGACTTTCTTTTACAGAATATATTATAGTGCTCCATATTGACAAATTAATGTTCACAATTCATTAGTTAGTTATCAATTTTTGCTTATTAGCTATTTTTGTTTGAATGCTAAGTAGTGCCTTATTAGCCAGTACAGCATTATTAGCCAGTTGTTAATAATTTAGAAAAACCTACAAGCCATTACTAATATCAGAATTGTTATTGAATAATATATTGGGGATATGCTAACATGTGATTTCCAAGGCTTATATAAGCCTTTATCAAAAGTTGTGATGACAAAGCCAGAACTTCAGTCAAACGGGTAATTCGGTAAAAGTTTCACATCCTGATTCATTTAGGCAGTTTTCCTAATTTGGTGTCTTCTAGCTGTATCAGAGGGATGCGGTGGCTCATTGGCTAAGTCACTGAGCTTGTTGATTGAAAGGTCGGCAGTTCAGTGGTTCGAATCCCTAGTGCTGCGTAATGGGGTGAGCTCCCGTTACTTGTGCCAACTTCTGCCAACCTAGCAGTTCGAAAGCACATAAAAAATGCAAGTAGAAAAATAGGGACCACCTTTGATGGGAAGGTAACAACGTTCTGTGCGCCTTTGGCGTTTAGTCATGCTGGCCACATGACCACGGCGATGTCTTCAGACAACACTGGCTCTTCGGCTTTGAAACGGAGATGAGCACCGCCCTCTAGAGTTGGGAATGACTAGCACATATGTGCGAGGGGAACCTTTACCTTTACCTTAGATGTATCAGAACTTCAGCTTCCAGGCTTTCTAATCAATGATTTCAATATATACATTACTGGCAATGTATGAAAAACTGGCATTGTATAGAACGCCTAGGAAATCTATAGAATGCATGATGTTTTAGTCAAAAGTATGAAATGTTTGTGTTATTTTAATATGCTATGTTTCTCTAGGTATTATATACGTAGACATTATGCAGAATGCCAAAAGAATCATGAAAAGGATTAGGGTTAGGATTAGGACTAACATACAGTATATGAAAATGAAAGAAGAAATTCAAAATAAAGTACAGGACTTTATTATTGAAAAAAATAAGATAAGAAGACCAGTATTGAGCTACTTGTTGCAACAAGGAAGGCAAGAATGGTATTTTAGGGGCAGTATTTTATAATTTGCCACTTTGCCTTTCGGCATTGCATAGAAGTCACAGGAAATGTGTGACATATTAAGCATTTCATACTTTGACATCTCATTTTTGGCATTCTATAGATTTCCTAGGCATTCTATAAAATGCCTAATTTCACACATTTACAGGAACATATAAATTATGTCAATCCTGCAGAGGAGTAATTGTGGTTGTCAATCATGTACAGTAACTCAAATAACAATAATGATCAATCTGATAAAGTTTCCCTAATACTGATCCCCAATACAGTGTGTAAATGAATGGAGCTAAAGGGTAGCTAACCTGCTTTTTGTTATCACAATTTTAAATAAATTATTAGTATTAGTTATCACAATATTAAATAAATTATACAAGTGGATGTTCTTTGTTTTTTTGCTTAAATATCAGCCCTCTAGGTGGCACTTATGCTACAAAAGTGAACTTTTGTAGGAGTTTAAGTCAGTAGATGGTAAACATAATTTTAAGATTTGCAAAACAGAAATTTTGTGGGACTTGCAGAGAAGCCATTCTCCCATTTCTGGAACTCTTGCTTTATCCAAGCATTCTGCTCCTTGAACTCAAAACTTTTCTCAACCAACTGGATTTAACACTTTCTAGTCAATGTCTAATCAGTTTCTTTATGATCTCCCCTCCAATTCAGCTTAATTTTCCTTGTTATAAAAACAGGATGCCATGAATTTTTACCTCAGTCTATCCTCCAGGACAGATGCTAAGAACTAACCATAATGATGCCAAAATTAAGAAATTGGCATCCTGACATCACCATGCAAAAACATACTTGCTTCACAATGTCACATATAAGTATGCAATGGATGCGTTGTTTCACAATCTCACAGTGCTCATTTCATCACTTTCCATCCTTTTCCTTTGTCTAGATATCTATGCTTTTCAGCTATTGGGCTCAAATGAGCCATTACTCTCTTTCCCCTTCCCTCTTACACATGTAGAGAAGCTATATGCTGTTCCTACAACTATGGATGCTGTAGCGGAAAAAGTGCCTGGTGTGTAAATATGATGCTGGAGTTTGTTGGACAACTTATAGACATAACAAATGGAATGCATGAAGTTTTAGGAACAAAGCATTGTCAAAGTCTAGAACCAAATGGGTCATGATGAACATTTGAAATACATGTGATTTTGCATTGAATAGAAACAAATTGCACCTATTGTTTTAAAGTTGGATGGAGGGTAACCATCACTTTTACTTTAACATGTTGGATCTTCCACACCAAGAAATCCCCCCCCCAACCTTTTATCTTAAAGCAAAGCAAAATTTCCATTATAATGAATGCCTCCCTTGCCATTTTCTCTTTCCTGACTACTTACACAAGATTGGACTTCATGGAGTTCCAAGCATACCACTTCAGTGGCAGGAGGCCGCTGCTTGATTTTCATACATGTGATGTTGAACTAGAAAAAGAAAGGATGGAAGAGTATATCATTGCATTTCCCTTTGTCTAGTGTCATTTGTTTATTTTATTTGCTAATTGCATTTCTGTGAAATCACCAATTAATTGATATGTGTTTAGAGTGTCCTTGGTGCTCTCTAAGCTTGGTTGTTGGTTGTCAGATGGTTCATCACCCAGACTATGGTGATCATCAGTACTAGCCAGTACTAGTATTACCTAGTTTGGATAATGAAACATCTGCAAGAAAACAATTAAGTTCAGAGAGCACCAAGGACCCCAATTTCAATCCTGAGCTACAAATATTCTCCTTTATTGATATGTACTTACTGAATAATTCAAGAACAAAGAATAAATGGCATTGCTAATATGTGACAGAAAAAACCCAAATATTTTTTTCTTGTGGAAAAAGTAAATCCCAAAGTATAATAACAGAAATGACTAAAAAGGTCTTTTTATGCTTACATATGATTTTAAACAAATAGGTGTATTAAGCAGACAAACCAGCAAGTTGGTGTAAACATGACTACAAAGATGTTAGACAACTATCGCTGAAAAGGCTATTCTATAATAGAGAGATCAACATGAAGAAGACTGTTTCTGAAATACTAGTTCACCTTATGTGATGAGGACACACTGAGCCATACCTTGAAGATAATTGCAAAGTTCAGGCTGGCAATATGTGAGAGATAATTATCTTAGGAAATATTCTCATGGTTCTATTATGTTAGAAACCTTTCAACCATTTTCTGAAAGGAGACATAATTCAAAAATGTATCTGCTTCCATCAGATAAATAGTATTGCATGGCTGAAAAGACCATTGGTGAATTACAGGGTAACCTGAAATGGAGATGTCAAACCAAAGAAATCTGCTGAACTTAAATTTTATCCACTTGAAATCATAGGTAAACTTCCTCAAAGGCATCAAATCAAACACATCAGATAAATGAAAGAAGGGTCAGTATCAAGGAATATGTTACTTTAGCATCAGTTTCTTTTGTTTTAGGAATATTTGGCTTTGTAATTCCAACACTGAGGACAGAGTCAATGTAAATTCAGATTAAAGCCAATGTTTATGCAATAACAATTTTTATTGCACAATTAGTTTTACCTGTACTCAGATACATTTTCATATAGCAAGATGAGATTGTGTGACAATTCACATTTTCTGAACACAAAATAGTAGCAGAACAGTAACTAGTAAAATGGTCATGTAGAACACTACAGTGTCTGAATGTCAAATGCTCTTAAAAACCTGAATGTGGGAAAGCTCATTAGAGAAGACCACAGCTGGGAGTTGCAAATTTATGTTCCCTCTTCCCTTCACATTTGTGCTCTGGGCAGTTTGCCAATCAGCTGTTGGAGCTTCCTCTGCTGAGGAAAAAAGTTATGTAAACACATCCATTCTCTTGCACCCTCTTCCCCAATAAAATGAAATAAGAACAACAATAGCCTAGGTGAGATTCAAAGAAATAAATGGGCACCTATGAGAACCATCCAAGGAGCTGAAGAATATAGGCTGGCACCTTTGCAAAAGTATCTGAAATACCATATCGATGAGACTGATTAATACACAAATCATTGATTTACAGTAATAGTCCCAATAAAGGAGATTAATAGTTTTCCTTTTTCATAACAATCCTAAGTTTTCACAATCTTACCATCACATTGTTGTTCTCAGTCATGGTTGTAATAAGAAAAATGGTAGAATTATATGTTGTTGGCTTAGTAGGTTCATGTATTAGAAGCGGTGTTGAGGTTAAATTTTGAATTGTTGTTGTCTCATTGTTAGTAGTCAATGTTGCATTCCACTGTGTAGTAAACGACTTAGCTGTTGTATTTGGCAAAGTTATGTTTGTTGTGGGTGTAATGGGGGCAATTATCTCTGGCTTGGTAGCATTACTTGATGTCTCTGGAAAGAAATAAAGGAATTGATTGGTAGAGAAAAATGCCAAATCCAGTCTAAACATCTGGCTGACTAACAATAATAATAATCTATGATCAATTTCTACGTACATGGTCAATTTCTTCAAATGATTACATGATCAATTTCTACAAAAGATGAGGGGAAAATGGGTAAAGATACAAGTTTTTCATCTGTCAATTACAAAATCCACATTACTTGGATCTGCATATATATTACGCTGATACATTACAACATCCCAGCTTCTTGAAAAGAACTTGATGTGAATGAAGAACCACACCATGTAAAGAACTGGCAGCAGTGCTTTCACATTTTTGTGTAAATTGATGGGCTATGAGTCTGCACTTAATGATCTCAAATAGCACATTTTGATCTGGAGCTTCAGATGCATCAGTCAGCCATACCTAAATATATTTTGAGTAATCTCGCTCAACCATTCTAACCAGCACAATATCTTAATGTCAGGGAATTGTGCAGCCGGTGTCCAAATGGAGTCAGAGATTCTACACGAAAAAGCATTTTTATATAAATAAATATATTTACAATAAATAAAATAGGAAAACAGGGGCATTGTCAGATAAATCAACACAGCAGGAACCATGAGGTAAATCACAGAGAGCACAGAGAAAAAAAGTGGGAAATAAGGAAATGCCCCCTTTACTCACAACAACTAATTACAGCTCAGATTCTCTCATGCAGTGGCCAACTTTCTTTAACCAATTAGCTATAACTGGGTGTTTTTACTCATTGTCCAACCCTTCACTGCTCCAGTTATTAAACTTTAAATATCTCAACACTTAATGAAATACTGGTCTCTAAATTTAGGAGAAGTTTGTTTTTGGCTAGATTTAATGCCTTCCCAACAGCTTTCACTGAGGGGAGATATGAGGACATTCCATTTGAGTAATGACTATGCCTCTCTAGCCCGGGAACAATACAGATATTGAACCATGTTGCATTGTGTAGTATTGTATTGTTCACTTTATGTTATTTCATGTCAGGAGCTATTATCCCTATTTTTAGACTAATGTCCTAGTCATTTTCTCTTCACCTATTGCTATCTGATCAGTTGAACTTTGTTTTACTGAACATAGCTAAATATTGTCCTGTTACCTGCAGTATTAGCTATAACTTATTAATAATCATGTTTTAAATATCTATTGTTCCAGACAAAGTGATTGTTTATTGTTAGTTTTATTCTATTTTTTTAATTGTTACTCACATTTAGGATTCACGATTGTGAACTCTGCTGTTTATTTTCATGACTCACTATTTAGGAGGTATGTCTTAATTTTGAATTTATTTTGAACTGATCTATGATAGTAAAGTCTGATCATTTCAGATGTTTAACAATACTTTTGCATAATAAGCAAAGTATTTTAAGTACTAGCTAAAAAATTGATTTAAAATAATAGCCTGGAATTGGGAATGAAAGTGATAAATTGATGTCTAGAGGTAAAACTAAAGTATAACATCTCATTCCTGATAAAAGGAGTTTAAAAATTGAACAGTTTCTTGAAAAATTGGGAAATTGCACTAAGAATTATTCAATTACATTTCAATATTTTCTTTTTTCTTCCAGGTCAGAATAGGTCAGAATATTAGCAGTCTGAGAAAAGATGGGAAAACTGGGAAAACAGAAATGGCAACACTTTGAGGAAGTTATGTTTTTATCATAAATGTTTAAATGAGTCAAACTAGTTCCATAGAAATATTGAAGCCCAGGGGTGAAAGGCTACCGGTTTGGGCCGGTTCCCGCGAATCGGTAGTAAAAATGCTACTGGTTCATCAGAATCCATTGGTAAAAAATGCTTTAAAAAGTAAAAAAATAAGTTCCAACGATCGCACGGCACAGCTGATTGTCGGAACTTTTAAAAAACTTTTTTTAAAGCCTTTTTTTACTACCGGTTCGGGTGAATAGATAGTAAAAAATTATTTAAAAAGTAAAAAAAAGAGGTTCCAACGATCAGCTGTGAGAATCAGCTGTGGCGCGCGATCATTGGAACTTTTTTTTTTTACTTTTTAAAGCATTTTTTTACTACCTATTGCCCAAACTGGTATTTTTGTGTAAAGTGTGATAGTTTGTTTTTAAGCTCTCTGTGAGGTTCCTGCTTGTTGCAGAGGCCATTTTGTGTGAAGTCCAGCTGCTTTTGCATTGTGTGAGTCAGTTGTGTAGCTTTTGTGTTATTTTTGTATAAAGTGTGATAGTTGGTTTCCCCAGTCAAATGACCACCAACCCACAGCCACCCAGCCACATGACCACCAAGCCATGTCGTCCAAGCCACACCCAAAGAACTGGTAGAGAAAAATTTTGAATTTCACCACTTTTGAAGCCAATTTACCTTCTAGTGATGTAATAGTAGGGCTTAAAGAGGTAATATTAGAAGCAGAAGTAGAAGTAATGATTATCGTCAACTTCTCAGCAATGGTAGTATTTGGAAAAATAGTACTTGAAACATTTTCATCACCAGAGACTGGATTTTCTAAAAATGAAAAATGAAAGAAATGTAAAATATTTATAGTTATTTAGTACAATTTGATGCTGTAGAAGACTCTTTGATGAGGCACAAAGTAGAAATGCTGCAACAACAAGAAAAATATGGAGTCCTTTTCTTTATTGTTTATGGTAGGAAGTTTACTTGATGCAAGTAAACTTTCATATTTACAAGACTGGTCACCACTTCCCAACAAATTGATGTTGCCTGCTTTCCTTTTATACATTGGCACAACAGAAATTGAGGCAGATTCATTGTTTATTATTATTTACTGGACAACCTGTGACCCATTGGGTCATCATTTCAGAGATATTTCCTTACTTAAACAGAGAAGCAGAATGACCATTGGTAGACAAAAAAGCAGTGAGAGCGGAAGCGACTTATGACTTCCTGCTGGTTTTCCCATTGCGTTTCCTTGTGGGAAGCAGGCAGAGAGTTTCAGAAATCAATCTTCCTTCCTTCCTTCCTTCCTTCCTTCCTTCCTTCCTTCCTTCCTTCCTGGAGTATGGAAATGTGCAAGAAATCCAACATGGGTTGGAAAAGGCACATGGGGGCAGTACAGGTCAGGAAAAGTTTGTGGGCAGAGATCAGGGGAGCTTGTGGGTGGTAGTGGAATGGGTTGAGAGGGTATATGTGCATTCCTTCTTTTTTGTTCCTCTCTCCCTCCCTATCCATTACTGGGAAACTGTCATGGAACATTGAAAAGCAAGTTCACGTGTATGTAGCAAAAGCAAAGCAGCACAACAACCTCCAGTATCACTGAAACAGCTACAACTTTCCCAGTTTCAATTCTTCCAGTCCTAGATTTTGGACACATTCTGTAAATTAAACTGTTTAAGATACCTTGGTTCAAAAAATTGTTGCCCTATGATGTTCTGTTGCACCCAGTTAAAGGTCATGACAATGAGTGTTTCAGTATAGTACTATATAGATAGAATTCCATCCCAATTCCATGGAATTTACAAAGAGGAGGGTTCACAGATTCCTGTAGGGATTCACAATTTAAAATAAACAGGAAAGCATTTGGGGAGCAGGAAGGGGCGAAGAGAGAGATCAATCTGGCAAAGACAGGCTATTAGTTCAATTGCTTGTACATTGGATTAGATTAAAGTTATTCTGGAAAAAAAAGGAAAATGTGAATTTTAGGGGGGAATTTCAGGAGGGAATCAACATAAGAAGACATTCAGGGAGGCAGTTCTAGGAGTACCTAATCCATGCCAGCTTCTTCTAGAATACAAAAACTGAAAGGGTGGAGCAGAAGGTCTTTGGATGATTAAAATTTACAGGAAGGGATGTGACAGAATAGAAAAGCAGATAAGCAACTATAATTCCATGGAACAGTTTCCTGTACCCCTGAAGTATAGCCCTTGAAACCTAAAATGCCTCTACCTTGGCAGCAGTGGAACTACGTGTCGTACAGTGAGTCAGAAAAATGATTTAAAAGTGGGGATTGCAATGGGAGCACTACTATATTTTCCAACATACAGTATATTTCTCTTGCTAGACTATAAAGAACAAATATATCCACATTTCACCAGGAGAGATCATGTACTTCCAAAGCCACGAGCATGCAATATACACATGTAGAAAGATATACCGAGAAAATTAATCACATGTACATTTTTCCCCATTGCAGTTGAACAATTTGGGAGTGGGAGATCAGGAGGAAAAGGCAGACAGACAGTTGAGGCTTCTTGCCTAGGCACCAGAGCAACAATGAAAGCAGTCCTTGATAATAAGACTCGGGGACATCTTGCATTGAAAATTACAGTATCACGGCTAATGCAGAGGTAAAATGTCAGGATTGTTAAATTAAATTAGATGTTTTTATCCTATCCTTGTTCGCTTCTTTATTCTGACCCAGTTACATCTGGAATGCAATCACCCAACATACTCCTCAAAGGTCAAAGGTCATATGAAAGGTCAAAGGTCACACACTCAAAACTAGAAATGGTGGTAGACTTTAGGAGAAACCCTCCCATACTACCACCTCTTACAATACTAGACAACACAGTTTCAACAGTAGAGACCTTCAAATTTCTAGGTTCTAGTATATTGCAAGACCGAAAATGGACACCTAACATCAAAAACATCATCAAAAAAGCACAACAAAGAATGTTATTTCTGTGCCAAACTGGCACAGCTCAAACTGCCCAAGGAGCTGCTGATACAGTTCTACAGAGGAATTATTGAGTCTGTCATCTGCACATCTATAACTGTCTGGTTTGGTTCTGCAACCCAACAAGACAGACACAGACTTCAGAGAATAATTAGAACTGCAGGAAAAACAATTACTACCAATCTTCCATTGAGGACCTGTATACTGCACAAGTCAAAAAGAGGGCTATGAAAATATTTACAAACCCCTCGCATGCTGGACATAAATTGTTTCAACTCCTACCCTCAAAATGACTCTACATATATTTTTATGTACACTGAGAGCATATGCACCAAAGACAAATTCCTTGTGTGTCCAATCACACTTGGCCAATAAAGAATTCTATCTATTGTGTCTGTCTGTCTGTCTGTCTGTCTGTCTGTCTGTCTGTCTGTCTGTCTATCTATCTATCTATCTATCTATCTATCTATCTATCTATCATCTATCTATATCAAAGGACCAAGTACAGAGACCTGAGAGGAAAAAATCAGACAGAAAACACGGGTCATCTTGAAAGTTTGATTAGATAGAGCTTGACTTGAAGGGAACCAACTGAGAACCAAATCATGAAGACAGCTTTGAAGAATTTTGATAAATGGAAAATCAAACAGAAGAAAACAACCAACTATATCAAAGACTGAACAGATCTTATAGAGATGGAGCAGTGAGGACAGTTGGATGGGAAGTGGAACATTGAAAATACTTTTGGTAAGGGCCATTCAGAGGATGATAGTGGCAGAAACCAGATGGGAAAACTTTAAAGGTAGGATTGAACAAAAAATGCTGGTAGAATGAGAGATAAACTAGTTTAAGGAATTTATGATGCAGGACACAAAGGAAATTAGAGAAATAAAGAATAAGGATGTAACTGAATTAGCATTCACGTGCACGCACGCACATACATAACCCTCTTCATTTTTTTTGCAAGAAAGTTCTGTATTAGAATAGATGTTTCATATCACAATACATGCATTTGTATACAGATGTTTTTAATAGTTGATGCTGTTTCTGTTTGAATAATTGTTCTGAACTATTCACAGTAGTGCTGGATTGCAACTTTACAACCCTTTACTTTAAACTCTGCTGGCAGTAACTCATAGAAGCTGGAGTTTATCAACAGCTGGACAGCTATCTCTAACCTAATTCTTTGTAATTCTTTAAGCAATATTTAAGATAATATTTCCATTAATAATTCCAGTAATAAAACACTACCTTAAAATATTTATTCCTAATTATTTTGCCATTTTAGGTTAAATGCACTCAAGCTTTCAAAAACCTTTTTTAAAAATTACTTGATTCTAATAACAAATGCTACAATTTCAGACTTTCAAACTATTGTGGTTATATTTTTTCTTTAAAGGTCAATACAGACTTGAAACTCAGATAACAAGAGAACAAGCTTTAAATCTTTATTTTAATAATCCACATTCCACAACTTTGTTTGTTCTCTTTTGTGAAAATATTACAGATACCTAATGTAATTTATGAGCTACTATTATTGTTTCTGAAAGCAGACAATTTTTCCTGTGCTTCTTCCATGAGCCATAGTTCTCTAAGTACCTTTAAAATTGCTTGAAAGTATTTTAATCATGGTGTTTTTTCTACAGGTCAAAAGGCTAGAAGCAGAACAAGAAATCAATTATTTTCCAGGGTTTGGGCAAGGTGTATATTTATATCCATCAGCCTTATTAAAAGAACATTCTGTTGTGCAAAAGGATATGTTCCCATTGCCAAGAATTCTGGATTATCTTAAAATTAATCTAGAACAAATGTTTAGAGCCAAGTGCCTGAAACAGAGTAATTGATGTCTCATATAACATAGCTCAGGATGTGTGTATTAATGCTGCAAGTTCACCATAGTGTTGGCCAGACATTATTTTGTATTCACTGCATGAAAGGCTATTTGTATACACATTCCAGTTTGCAAAAGAACTAACATTCATGTACTTGTACCCAAATTGTACATATGTGACAATTGCATGCTCATTTGTATACACTTCACTGCTTGATTTACATTTAAACTGCTAAATTTATAGTAATTACAAATCTTATTAATATAACCTACTTGCATACTGGGGGAAAAATCAGATTTATATTCTTCATTTGATTTATTAAATTTATATGCTGCTTCTTGATGGCAACTTAAAACAAAATAGAAGCTCATGCATACTATAAAATATGCAAAGACCTAGCTCTCTGGAGAAGGTTCTAATACTGAGAAAGGTGGAAGGAAAGAAAAGAGGATGACCTCTTTAGTAGCAAGGTGGATGGACTTTTTTACAGTGGTGATGAACGCTTCGTTAGAAGACCTGAAAGACCAAGTTAGGGATAGATTGTCATGGCAAAAATCTATTTATATGGATGATAGGAGTAAAAAAAATGACCTAATGGCACATAATCATCACTTATGAAAAATAGAATGAAATACCTGTGTTTTTCCCATTGTTTTAATACTTTGTAATCATGATCCCTTTCTCACTCTTCAATAACAATGCTTGTTCTGTCTCTGTCACAAAGAGAAACTAGAAAGAAACCGATAAAATGAAACTTGCACCCTAGGGCAGATTCTGACTCCCCTCTCTGTTTGGTTGACCATACCTGAAGAGAAATAATGTGTTCAGGCATTCTCAAATCTGCATGGACCCACAGGATTTTCCTGTCCCTTATGATAAACAAGTACTGTAGGAATTGCCTTGAAGACAGGATATCAGATTATCCATGTGGTGGATTGATCAGTTTAAATTTTCCTTCTTCACACCCACTAGAAACCTGCGTTTTCAAGAGTGTGGAAATGAGTAATGATTAGATATGCTATAGAAATCAAAGGAAT